TGATTCAGGCTCTGTAGGAAACCTCACTCTTAAGTGGTAGGCAGAGGCAACTGAAGGTCACAGTGGGTTTCCATTTACTCTAAAGTGGAAGGCAGATACCCAGCATATATGGACACATCTCTAAGCAGAAACTTGAATCTAGACATCCTTGTTGGGAAATGGATTTCACTCTTGCTGTGAGAACTGCTTTCTCAGCAAGTCTAGTTCATTCAAGTGTAATCCGCAGATGTCATGACTTTGCTGGAGGAAGGTAAATGGGTTGGAAATATAACACCATATTTTGGGGGCAGATGAAATAGAGGTTAAGTTTGTATTTTGTCTAAAAGAATATAATCTGCTGGTATTTTGACTGCAAGTGACAATGAATATTTGGTCACAGTAGCCAGGGGGAATAATTTGAAAACATCTCTGTAACATCTAATGGATTTGGACAAAAACACTTGGACAAGATCTGATTCCTTTATATATGATTCATATTGGGTTAAAATTTGCACATGAAATTCCTTTATTTTGTGAAGTCTTCATACAAATGCCAGCCTAGCTATTTCTGACAAATTAGTGATTAAGAATCTTGACTTCTGAATGGAGTAAGGAGTCCCATAATGATTACTGTAAGGCTTTTTTCTCAATGGCAAATTCACCTTTTTCATGAGCCTTAAAATGGAGAAAGGACTTCTTGTATACCTGACATAACTTTGCATTATGACCTTGTCAAAAAAGATCTCTCTTCTGGTTCTGAGGTGATGCTGCTAAAATGAGTGACCCATTCCTGCTCTGGGACAGTACTCTCTGATTAGCTCCAGATGTTTGGATGGTGTGATAAAAATCATAATGTGATTCACAAACTCTGAGACACCAGTTGACCTCTCTGTTTGATCTAAGTATGGTTCAGTCACAAAAGACCTGCAAAATTTCCTCAGGGCATGCATGTTTCAGGTAAACCTCTCACTACTTCTTCTGACAGCTGTGATTGAGAGGGGGAACTTCTGCAACATCCTCTGAGATGTAAGTACACACGTATGCGGCCCTCTTGAGAAACAGGTATGGGGTGCTATTTGTCTGCAATATGAAATGAGATTTGTGCAAAAGAAATTCTTCTGATTTCACTTAATTACCTTACCTGAAGTAATGGTGTGTGCAAGTTTCCATCATCCTGTGCTTAATTAAGAATGCCGAAGATGTTCCTATTAATCTCTTTCTCTGTAAATAACCCTTAAAAATCCTAATCCTGTTCGATATAAATTTTGCAGAAAATAACTTTGCATGTCAATATCTAGGATAATTTTTTTCTTTTTCTTTCCCCCCCTCCCCTTTTTTTTTTAAACAAGTAACAAATTGAGCACTCCTCTTGCAAGAAAAAGCTGGATTGATGACAGTCAGCTATTGAAGGGTTAGGTCATAGGATGTGGTGCTCCTGTGGTGGAGATCAGACAGTTTACAAACTTACTTTCCTTCAGTTCAGATGCAGGATCTGTTTGAGTATGTGCTCTTCACCTTTCTTCTCGCAAAATTCATTTCAGTCACTCTTATACTTTATTACTTGTTTTCAGATGGCTGATGACAACTAAAAGCAGCAAACATCACATGCAATTGTATCTGAGTGCACTCATAGTATTTGGCGGAATACCTGATTGCCTAGTTGTATAGCCCATGTGGATCAAGGGAATGACTATTAGCTTGGAATGTCTGCCATGCTATTTGTCTTCTCAACAAACCACCTCTGAGATGTTTTAAAAACCTCATGAAAGTTTTTTATTCTTTGGGGACTGGCCTGTTTATTATAGCCAGAAAGGTGACAATTTGCACATACTATCCTGGAGCTTTAACTATTTCTGTGTTCTTCCTGTGGTCTTGTTCAAAATAATGTTGATTGAAGCTCCCTACTGATTAGTGATTACTTTGACATTTTCTGCCTTCTCTTTATGTCAATGTCGATGTTATGGTTGGGATGTGAAAGAAGATGAAAAGACCTAGGCTTATCATGTGAACAGATTCAATAATCTGTTCTCCCCCTGTTTCCTTGGAAGCTTCAAAGGCAGGCTTGAGGACAGAACTTCTGCTCTTTCCTTCTGGTTGTGCCTATACCTGAACCTGTGCCTGTACCATCTCAGTTACATGCGGGCAAATTCCCTGGATCATCCTCTGCTGAACTGCGAAAACCAGAAGCTGTTATCCAGGGAATGTTAAGAAAAAAGCCTGAAGTTCAGGTTGAAGAACAAACAAGACAGAAAAAAACCAACTACACCAAAAAAACTATACCAAGTTTTTTTAATATATCTATATATATACACACGTGTATATATATTTATACCAACTATTCCCAAAATAAGACAAGATATTGGAGTTAAAATGAAGTGTGAAATTTTGCTTCTCATAATACATTTTCTTCCAATTAGTTAACAGTGATAGCACAGTGCAGCATTCAGGTAACTTCTTTGAAATCAGGGGTGAATTAAAACTTGAGTCTGTGAGGATCCTGAAACTACATTCTTGTTCTTGTAGTTGTCCCCTGTACTGAATAGCTGCAAAACCAAATGCCTAAAGTATTCAAAATCTTGGTTGTGTCTAAGAGATAAAAGACAGGCTACGCAATTTCATTCCTTACATGATGAGCTGAGTTGACATTATAAATTAATGATAGCCTAGAAGTACTGCTTAGAGTGGAAAAATAACCTCTTTTTGCTGCTGAATTCTGCTTCTTAAGTAACTAGTGTTACTTAGTAGCTCTAAGAAGAAAAGCTAAAATGAGATAAACTTGATAGACTATTGAATCCAAATCAGTTTGATCATCAGTGTAAATACTTGTTGAGGGGAATCCAGAATTAAAGGTGTTACTGGCATTGGTCCCCAGTGATTTATGGACAGTAAGGCTGCATAGTGAGATCCCTGTAATAGACATGTGTAACCCGACTAGTCTGCATTACCTTTCCATTTGCTATGAAATTATAACTTGCTTGCAGTTTCATTTATCCTTTCTTGCATCCCAGGAAAGAAATCACCAGATAGTCTAAGTTTGCCCTCAAAATGTAAGAGTTCCTGTATTCTGACACTGCAGAGGAAGATGCAACATGACAGTACACGAAGGCTGACGTTATCTAGGGACCACAAACATACCAGCTGGGGTTTGTTTGGGGTCCCTGTGTGTCTTCCTCTTTTTATCCACAGGCTTCCCAACAGGATGGTAGAATCAAGAGGCTTGTGGTTAGCTAGCTGAATGGAGACAGTCATGTGTACTGCTACTGTTTCCGACCCAGCAAAACTCTGCCTCTAACAGCCAGATCCTGTCAGACCTTCCCCGTACTTCTCTATGGGAAATACAAAGAGACCATTTCTCTGTCACATTTTGGGGGACTGGAGGATTTCTTTTGATTCAAGATTGCTTTCATTTTAGGATTCTGGGAGAATATGTGACCTGAAAATAAAATGCAGAGTGGAAAAGCCACAGGATCTGCTCACCTCTCAACAAATTCCTTGGTGATTGTTAGAGGCAGTAGTTAATCTGATAACTGTCATGTCTGGGGTAATTCAGAAGGAATCATCCTGACAGGTTGCAGATGTTTCTCCTTGTAAGAACCAAGGTTTCACCATTGCCATCCCAAGAATCACATAGAAAGCAAGAGCAAATACAATCCTCTGGCACTGTTGGCACACTGAAGAGGTAATTTATAATAGAGGGATAAGGGATTGTGAAAATGTTTTCCCTTCACTTAGCCTCTAATAATGCCAACAAACAACTATTTGGAATGACTTTCACAGTATCTCATTCCAGCGTAAGACTTTGAAAAGGCCAGATAACTTTACCTTATGCAAGGGAAGAGATGTTAAATATGTGTGCGTGTATGTGCATGTAACTGTATGTTACAAGAAAACTGTCTCAGATTAACTCAGTTAAGTCTCAGACATCAAAGAACCAACCTGTCTTCACCCAGGAGCTAATGACATTAACCAGCTCCTACAGTATTCTTCCAGGGTAAAGGTACTCTTTCAGTAAATTATGAAGGGTGTTCTCCTCCTCCAGGCAAAGTTCAGCACAACTCACAAAGGATATGTATCTTTACTTCTTCTTGTAACCATGCTTGATCCTGCTGCAGCCCTCCAGTGCGCTGATGATGAAGTATCACAGTAAATGCCCTCCCTCTTTCCCCAGCACCTGCTTGGCTCCCCAGCTGGATCATTACCAGCCATTTGTCAATAAAAGTGCCTCTGAAATACAGGGCAAATGGCTTTATGCAGCCCTGTGGGTATAGAAGGGCATGCAAGAAGACTCTCCATTTGCATGGTTGTGCAAGGGTTTTGCACAATAACAAAGAATTGGGTCAAGAGCACACAGGGCCTGAAAATTTGGGACCAATGTGCATGCAGGGACAGAAGAAGACCAGAAAGAGCCAGGATCTCACCTACATACCAAGCATTAGAGGCAGTGGTGTCCAAGGGAAGAGATGCTGCTTCTTTCTGATCTATGGTAGGAGCCTAGAAATCATCAACAACTCCAAATGTTTGCCAATTCTGTGTATTCCTATCTGTCATGGGATGCATAATTTCTGGCAACAATTAAGACACTGATTACTCATCCCTGAAATTGAGATTTCAAATTAATTTCCTAGCCCTGATATCATTTCTTCCTTGATGTCCCATGCCTGATACATTAAAGACTCTCCAAAATCAATCTTAAGTCACTTGACTGAGCTGTTGGAGTGAAAACATTGCATGGATGGCAGCTTGCCCCCTTCAGGACTGCAAACTAATCATGGTGCCATCACACAAGTCTATAGATGTACTCTTTTCCCCTTGCTGCCATGCTTCTCCAACCAGTGGTAGGTAATCCACTCAGTCAGACTGGGTGCTTTGCCCACCTCCTGCCTTTGGGGGGGTGTTTCCTCCTCAGTGGAAGGAAAAACCTTTCCAGATGCAAAAGGAGTGAAAGGAGGTTCTGAGTTTGGGGAAGGAGAATGGTTTTGCCACACTCTTATAGGGTTGACTTTATCTTGTGCTTTCTCTAGGGGCTACCAAAGACATGGGGAAGATGCTGGGTGGGGATGAGGAGAAAGACCCAGATGCTGCCAAGAAAGAGGAGGAACGACAGGAAGCCCTCAGGCAAGAAGAGGAAGAGAGAAAAGCCAAATATGCCAAGATGGAGGCTGAAAGAGAAGTTATGAGACAAGGGATTCGAGACAAGGTAGGGATCCGGCTTTCAGCATACACTGGGCAACTCATAATGCTCATTGGAGAACTACTGTTTTCATCTGATTTGTTCCTGAGCACCTGGGTAGAGCCAAGTACTTTGCCGCACTGGACTTTCTACTGTCCCTTGAGCTCCATCCCTGTTTAAACACACCTCCACATGAAAAACACCTGCAAAGTTGAAATAGGGAGTGAAGATGAGGGGAGAAAAATGTCTATTTTTCTCATTATCTGTCAAATGCTCACATTATTTTAAATGTTAAAGACATCCCTATCCCTATCTGGGTGCTTTCCAAACTTACATTTGTGGTTTGTGAGAAGGGTCATAATTCAGTGTGTTTCTGAGAGATACAGTCCAAGTATCTTCCATATTGCTTCTGAGGCTTTCTTTGTGTTGACAGGTAAAGTGACAGGTAAAACTACTTTTCACATTAGACTTCCACTACTCACAGGGGATTCATCTGAAAGAAAGAGTTTCATTTATCTGCGGACCTTACCATTGGTTAAGTCTCTTCTGCTCTCTTCTACTTAAGTTGATTCTTATAAGAAGAACGACATTAATAACTGGGAGGATTCAGAATGAGATTGAAAAGAAATGTACAACCCAAACCTTTATTAGAGAAATGAGCTAATTTATGATAGCTAAGCCCATTGTTACCATACCTTAGGGGTTGATGTGTGGAAAGAGAAGGCAGTTTTGTTGCCTTAAGTCCAAGACTGGGTGAAAATTGTTTCTTTACAATAATTTCACTTTATAGGAAGAGTTCCTGTGGCTAATGGCTGGAGGAGGGGTTTCTGCTCATGAAAGCCTGTGTGCTGACTTACTTCATGCGCCAAAAAAAAATAGAAGATACCTGTAGACAGAATGAAGAAGCCCTGCTCAGTAGAAGTGATGTTCACTGTGCACTGCTTACCTCTGCACAGATTACAGTCATGTAAGAACATGTCTGGGAGAAAGCTTCAAAGTTTCCTCTCAGAGATGAGCGTGGGTGGCTGTCCATAAACAAAACTGTGTTTGCACCAGGCCAAACTTCTGACCCAATTCTATTGATTCAGGAGGGTAGCATGGATAAGGATGAATTGTTCTGGTGGCATAATGCATCTTGTAAAGAGGTATTGAGAATTGTTCTGCAAATAAAGAAATTTGGGATTATGCTTCTAAGGAAAGAAAGTACTTACAGGAAATTGTCTACCTGTAGCACTGCCAGAGAAAGGTATTCATGTGATCATTTAAAAGAGGGTATTGGCTATCAGATAGACAGATTTAGAACACCTACGTGGTCAAAATTTTTTGGTTTTATAATGTATTTAATGAATATGTAGGTAGATAGTGTAATATATTAAAATAAACACATTAATATGTGCAGTATATGTTTAAGGTACGTTTACAGGTGGAACTGTTTCTAAGCAATGACATAGATCTGCATTAAACACGAGGGGAAAAAAAAAGAGTAATACATGTCTGAATTACAGGCTGATGGGCTAATGCCCTGTTTTCAGTGGTTGCTGTCTCTTCTGCTAGACCACTGAAGTATTCCCAGAGGTAGATGGGGGTTGTATTTTTCTCGCTGTTAGGCAAAAGGCTCTATAAGCATTTAAGGAATCTGAGATACCTTGTATTACAAATCCAAGGAGAAATAGACTAGAATTCACACATGTATGAATAGGATGCGTATAGACTAAGCCCCGACATTGAGGCTGTGTATAGCTAATATCCTCATTACCTTGCTAATACCAAATACTATCAGCTTGCCATGTTAGAGCAGCCATCTTTTTTCCAGTGCACTTGGGTGGAACATTGTCTTCTACTAAGAGATGACTTTGTGTTATATACATGCACACCTCAGCAGTGAATGCTGACAACTTTCTTCATATAATGATCCATAATTACTTATTTAAATACTTAATTCTTTAACTTTGAGGGTGACAGAGCACTGGCACAGGCTGCCCAGAGAGATTGTGTAGTGTCCCTCTCTGAAGATATTAAAAACCTTCCTGGATATGTTCCTGTCCAACCTGCTCTAGGTGAACCTGCTTTGGCAGGGGGGTTGGACTAGATGATATTTCAACCCCTATACCATTCTGTGATTTCCACCATTGTGGAAGAACCCAGTCCCAAGAGAGCCCTATTGCATGCTCTGACATTAACAATCTGTCTTGGCTGCTAGTGAGCCAATGTGTGCAGTTTGGCTTCCTGCAAATCTTACACATGCTTATATAGTGTCACCATTGCTGAGCCCATGCTGAAAAGTAGCAAGATCTCAAGGCTATCCTCACAATTAGGGGTATCAACCAAAAAGGATGTAAGCATGGTCCCCTGTCCAAGTATCTTGGCTTCAAGACAGAATGTAGGTTTTAATTCAGGCCATGCTCGAGGTGGAGCATTAACTGCTTCAGTAGCTATTGTAGTTCTCAGAGTGAAAGGACAAGTGTCTCCAGCCCAGCTTGTCTTTGACCAGTCTCATGTGTTGTGGGTAATAAAGCAGAAGTTTATGTGTATTAATAAGGATTGCTGCTTCCAAATTGAGCATGAAATCTGCATAAAAGTATGGAAAGGTTGCAAATAGAAAATTCAAATGCTGGAAGAATTAAAGTTGTCTCTACAATTGTATTCGACCCTGTTGGTTGCTGTGCTGATTGAGGCATAATGCTTAATTGCATCGTCATATGTTTCGGCTTCTAGGAACTTCAGCTCTCTCATTGCACAAAACAAGGTCAACTGTTTTCTTAATAAGCAAATGTTCAGTATTTCATCTCAGTCATGCCTTACAATGTGTTTTCTCACCTCATTTACTATGCAGTATCTGAATTCTGACGGCAAGATGATTTTCCTCATTTGAGGGTTTCATTCTATGTTGCTATTATTATTACACTTTCACTAACATAGTTGATGAGTTCATTCCAAGCACAATTTCTTCTGAGATTTATATGGCTGGGGCACAAAGAGTTTTGTGAAATTTTTTCTGTTTGTAAAGTACAAAAGCAGAAGTGTCATTATATGATTAAAGCCTCGGTGGCAGAAGAATGCTAACAACTTGTTGCATCAGTGAGGCTCTGCGGCACAGTAAGAAATGCTCAGGACTTCCTTTTCTCTTTGCTGGCAACAGGGAAATGGGGACACCTGGGTTTTGAAGGTTATTACTTCAGGGAACATATCATGCAGCAGGAGAATATGCAGTCCTTGTCCTGTTTAAGCGTGAGACCTTCTGTCTCTGGATGTGTGCCATTAATTCTTCCCATTCTTCTTCCTGGACCATTAAAAGCTCTCAGTGATTTGGCAGAAGGATTCCCTGCACTATTTTGAATTGTCCACGTCCCAGGAAAACCATGAAAACTACTCAGTTCTTCGTAGATATCTAAAACATGTAATTTCCAGGTCTTCCATGATTTCAGGTAGACAGGTAGGGGATATTCAAATTTACTGCTAGAAAAGTGAGAACATTTGGGTTGCTGGCAATGGGAGAAGTCCTAAGTTAGAGCCTTTGTTCGCCCCAGTGTGAAACTGTTCTCATAATTCTGGTTTTTGTTTGTTTGGTTTTTTGTTTTTGTTTTTTGGGGGTTTTTTTTGTATGTTTTTTTTTTGTATGGTTTTTTTTCCCCCCTTTTAAATCTGATTGGTGAGCTCACTTCCGGCACTAAATCACTCAGACAAAAAGGCAATGATCATTTGTAGCTGAGGTCCTAGATTCTTATGAGAGATAATCAACACGCAACATTATATAATTATTTACTTTCAATATTTAATTTCATATGTAACCAGTGCATAGCTGTGAAAATCCTGTCTGAGGTGGGGAAAATACCAGAATGTGAATTGACTCTGTTCTCCAGCAATATGAGACCTTTGAAGCTATGGTCCAGGCTCATGGGGGGCAAACTTAATATTCGTAAAACTTTGTTGCAATAAACCAGCTTCCCAATGTTAGCTTAATTTTACCACATCTGTGGGAAGTTTCATTCCTGTTCTAACTTCAGATGTAGATATTGCCTAGGGCTTTAAAAATTCCTGTACAAAGAAATGAAATGTCACTGCCTGAAAATGCAATTTTGAAGGTGCAGTCTTCCTTGAGAGGAATGAATATATAGTACATTTTTCATTGGAGACTATTGACAACTGAAAAAATTATTTTGTGTGCAGAAATTGTATTCTTTGCATGTCAAAAGGTGCAGAATCTCAAATAAAGAAAAGATTTTCCTCAGCAATTAATCATATTCTGTAATTTAAATTATAAAATTCATATCTCAATGAACAGAAACATTCTATCTTATCTCTTCACTTTTAAATCATGGATAACAAACCACTGATGTGAATTTTTATCCCGCACTTGTGGTCTAATGAAGCTGTGGCTACTGTTCGGTATGTGGGCATTAAAATAGATTTTCAGAGATGTACATGTATTGTGCAGATGAAGTGGTATCATTAACTTGATTCTCCTCCTGCTTTCACAGTGGCTTTTGATAATTTAGGATAAAAACCAAACATACAAAAAAATTCCTTGCATAGTTAACTTCACTGCAGATACTCTTTGTGCTATAGACTAAAGAGTATTTACAACTGGGTCACAGGCCCTCTGGCTATGAGAAAGCGGTAGACCTGGCCAAGACACTCCCAATGTGATGCTTTGCAAGACTGTGCAATCCAAGAAGAGGGCTGTGGGGTTGGTGGGAGCAGTCAAAATACCAGTAACGATGACAACAAAAAGAATTGCGCTCTGCAGCAATTAAATCACGGGCTGTTCTGGGTGAAGAAGGCTGCAAGGACAATGTCCTGTAGTGTTTACTGTGTTCTGGATACATTTGATTCTTTGGTTATTGGGGACAGTGGAAGCTGGAGTAAGCCCAAGCAGAGTTGGAACAAGGAAAGGACATCTGCAGAGTGATTGAAAGGCACCTTAACCCCAGAGATGGAGGCATGCAAGAGGATAAAGTGATTTGACCTGGACTAGACTTCTGCCAGAACTTGTCCCCCAACCAGTTGTATGCAAGGATGTCCTGACT